TTGAAATCTCTATTCCAATTTAAATGACTTATTTCATTACCCCGCGTGCTCCCGAACGGATTCTAAGCGAGTTTCGTGGACATAAATTTTGAAATTGATAATAAAATTTTCGTAGGTGGGTATGTTGTATGTTAGTGTTCATTGCGTGTGTAGATGTCAGTTTGAAATAAAGCGATGGCTGAAAAAACTTCATAAAATTAGGACTGAATTTAATGTAAACGATTGAAATGTAAAAAATATGGTATTTTCTCCACCACTCATTTAATATGGACTTGCTAAAGAGTTGATTTTTGCATATATTATATTTGGACATAATCTAAAAATATTTATTATTGATTTGCCTTTTATTGTTTTTATATCATGCATATTTTCATGGATTCATGTTCCGTTTTTGATGATTATGAGTAATCGATAAATTTTTGACTCATTGTCAATAACTTTGTTATTCCTGTTTTGGATTTGATCTCCTTTGAGAAAAATTAAATCAAATTTTAGTCCATTTACATTATTTCTTTGGTACAGGAATTACAGTAGAAAGGAAGTAAATATGGATTCTTAGGTTTCCGAGACTCCCACTATTTCTAACAGCTAGTATTTGTAACTTCAGGCATAAAACTCTCTGTGAGCTGCATGCAATAAGTGTCCACTAATCGGTAATGGATCCGGATTATGACTGCACCAGGTCAAAATCCACTTATGACATTTCGTTAAATATAGTTGGTCATAATTTTAATATTTATTCGTAATACACTGTAAATAAAGGAATCATCAGTTTGAACCATTGAACATGAATTGGCTTAAAGTATTACATTATTGCCCATTACAAGAAACTTATTCGGATGTAAGCCAGAAGCTTTTTTTAATTAATTGCCCTTAATCAACATACCTTTTTTAATAACTCAATATACAGAATTGTTTTACAGAAAATACGAAACATGGAATAAACGTAAATTAAAACGAAACTCGTGTTTATTTATGATAATAATAATGAAAACGTGCTCGTCAGTAACAATATATTTTTCGTTGATTTGTTTCAATTCAATATTTCATATTATATTCGGTTTCAATAGAATAGAGTATTATTATGATGAAAGCCTTATTAAGGATTTCCTTGATAATAATTAAATTGGTTCCAAAGAATATTATTTTATGTTTATATTTCACAGCTGAATTTAATATATTATCAATAATTTTCATTGAATGTTTTTGCGTTGTTTGAGTTGTAGTTTTTTCAAACAATTTACACTAATTAATTTTTTATCAAGTTATAGCAGCAAGTTTTGTTAGTTATTTTATTATAGAGTGAGATTATGTCAAGTTTTGAGTGAAAGATACGGCATATTCATAGATTCATATGTGCATTGTGCATGTGATACTTTGGTGTTGCAGGCAGCCAAAACTGCTTGAAATCAAACGTCAAAAAATCATCTTACGATTAAACAGTCTATTCAATATTTTGTTTTAATTTATCGTATTGAAAATCAAGATTTCAATAAAATTAGGAATTCGGAAAATATTAGATATACAAAGTAACTTATTCAATATTTGTTTTTCTTGATTATCCTACGTTGTCTAATAGAAATCTTGGCAACGTCTTCTATGAAGGTACTCTTCAGCAGTTCATTAACTTTCAGACCTCTTCAAATTACCCGGTATATTCGAATACTATAGTCGATGAATTGTATCCATATAATATTTTATTTGCAGGTATATTGTGTTTTCCAGGTTCGCTTTTTCGTCATATAACTAACTTATCTTAACAAAAGTTTAATGTATAAATTTCAATTAAATGTACTGAAATTTTTAAATACAATTATTTTAAAATTTTAACAGTGGTTATTACCGATTGCGCATCTCGAGACTTGGTGAAAATTTATCACTTTGTTATTTCAGTTCTAAGATATGTATAAGAAACACGTTCTGTTAGAGATAACGAACTATTAAGGTAATTCATTATATATAAACTATTAAGGTAATATGTTAAACACATAATCAAATTAACTTAGTAGCAAAAATATTTCACAGTCATAAAATTTGTGAATAAAGAAAAAAACCTTTTATCATGAAACGAAATAGCGAGAAACTGCATTGTTTATTATAATAGATTTAACTTAAACTTGAAACAAATTTTGCTAACCAGGTAGTGAGTACTGTTTCCATATTCCTAAAGTCATTACTGCCTTAATCTCGTACGACTTGCTACAATGTCCAACCTAAGTTTGGGATTAGTTTGGAAACTATCAGTTAGTAAAAACAGCAGTATCTATGTGGAACTTACTACTCCGTATTGTTATCACTAGATGTAGCTGGTACGGAAAGAGTTATATGTACTTTTTTGTCATTAAATAAATATATCACACAATAATTACGTTTATTTGGGGATTGATGACTTGGATGTTTAATGAAAATACATGTGAAAATAATTATGTGAAAAACGGTTTAATTTCTGTTTGTATGATACGAAAAAATTTATCATACTTAATAGTAAACGGTATTTAATATATTGACGTGCATTATTTAATCGTTCTATTGTCCTACCTTTGTTAAATATTTGTCCATTGTATTGTGTTTGTGAAACAGTAATAATAAAATGTTTTAACAACGAAACGAATTAATTAACGATGAAACAAACAATATTTTATACTTTAACTATTAATTTTGTTAATTAAATATTATAAATACATTGAGTTAGAGACCATGTGTTGCTAGCAACTTATTTGTTTGACAACTTTATACAATCTCTTCAATAGAACTTCCGAGTAGTTCCGCATTGAAGTTTGTGGAACAAAAACATTGAGCTGGTTCCTATAGTGTGGAATGGTTGAACTGAGGTTGAATCTATGGTTGTTTCAAATATTATATATCTGCAATATATAACTGACTGTTGAATGAGTATTGTTCTTAGTATACAATATATTTTGATTAAATAGAGTTGTGTTGTGGCCTTCTTGCTTAATGTATATGAAATATATTAATATCATATGTGTATGTGTCCTTCTATATCACTTTTTCAATTGTTAAAATATTTTTCAATAAGAATCTTTAAACAACTTATTTCACCCGTGAAGTTGCTAAATCATTAATGAATAAGTATAGAATTAAAAAATAAAATAAAATAGAATTCCACAATTAAAAATACAATGCTCAATTCTGCTGAATCTGTGGTATTCACATAAGATAAATTAGATATTAAATGAAACTATCGATTCCTATTTGCAATATTCATTTCTTAGATTTACATGAATATAACAAAAACAATCGCTTTTTGAGTAATATTTTGCACTAATTTAATTCATAACATATACACTTCATCACTGCAGCTTGTAATAAATTAATAATTTTAAATACTTGAATAATAAATTCAGAATATTTCATTAAATTTTCTCATCCTGTGAATACGCTTTACATGTAAGACGCCAGCCACTTAGAGCGATCTTAATTAGTAACGAAGCAGCACTTTAAGCACTCGAGGAATTCCATATTCCTTCAAGGGTTGTCCAAAGGATATCGTAAACCTTTAATCGATATTATAATAAACTAATAACAGCATGGATTATACCTCTCTTATAGTATTATATTTATTATGATATAATTCTCTTTCGCTTAAACTAAAATGACTAAGTAAATGGTCTTAGAGATTGAACGTTAAGTTCGGTAATCAATGTACGTTTTGACTAATGTAGCGGAAGGGATAACGAACAAGTAATGTTCAGAATGGTAGCTAGAGCCGAGCAGCTTAAACTTTTATCTTAAAATTGAATGTTTAAATCTATGTATTTAATGCACTGCGATTGATTTTGATTTAATCTGAAATGCTTATGTTTTGATTAATCATGTTTATTAATATATGATTAAAAATTTTATTCTGTAGCAATTAAGATAACAATTAGTTATACTTTCGTAATTGCTATATTCATATCTTTTATTTGATTATATTAAAATATTTTTGGCTTAGACTTTGCATCAATCTTATATGACTGCGATTGTACACTTATTAATTAATCCCTTGTTGTTTGTTTGTACTAGTGAGCTGTAATAGATTATTTGAAGTGATGAAAATTTGAATATAGTTATGCACACAAAAGCTTTTGTTTAACAAGTTGCTGTTATCTGCGATTTTGCCTGCGCTTTTTGTAAAGTATGTCCATGCAATTGAAACGGTTTTTTGGAATTGAAATATTTTTAACAATTATCAATTATGGGCTCTTATTGAAACATACCTTGTTCTGGAATAAAATATGTAAAATATTTTTAACTCCATTGCCTATATTTTTCACAATTTTAATACTTTTCATATAGATCATTTGAAATATTATTATACCCCAAAAACGTCTTTAAAAACGGTTTTAAACTGAAAATGCCGCAGTCAAAATAAATTATTTATTAGCATAATACTTTTACTGTATTGAATGTATCGTCATTACTTACGAAAGAAGTTATTTCAAACGAGAATCCACATTGAATGTTGAATAAATTTATACTTAATTTGAAAAACCAATAGAAGGATATAAGGCACAAAACGTTCATGTTAAATTTGCTTTCAAAACCTTATGGCATACGTATATATTCAAGTGTCTCCTTTGAATTTCTTTTTCCTTAGATCCCCGACACGCCTTTTACTAGTCAAGCTACTTTATTTTCTTCAGCTGAATCTCTGATAATATTGTCTGTATAGACAGATTTTCGTAAATCAGTATAATCCAAATGATAATCAACTTGGGATCACCGATCTCTCTTAAATATAAATCGAGACATTTTCTTTTATGTTCAAGTTATGTTTATTTCTATACAATGATTCAAACATGCTCTTTCATAAGCTCTATTAATATGATTATATGTTTTTTTAACATATGTGCTAAAATGTACTTCTTATTTGTTGTGTATGTTGTATAATATGTATGTTTCCTTGAATCTTTTTTTTTTCAGGTTTCATTGAATTCAAAGCTATAAATGTTCTGATAAACAGAAATGTACGATAAAATTACCTTTTAAAATCCAATATGGATAAAAATAAGAAGAAGAACAGTCTTAATGGAAAATATAAAAAGAATGGCAAAGTAGACAACTACGATGACGTCAACACAACTTGTTGCTTTTGCATTAAAACTAAAAAGAGCAAGAAGAAAAGTTTGATAGCTGGATGCGTAACTAATCTAGGAATATTTGTAATACTCCTAATATACACATTAGTGGGGGCTTTTATTTTCCTAGCAATTGAGGGTAGTGCCGCAAAAGTCCACCAAAAGACTTTAGCGACCACTTCATACCATGTCAATGAAAATAGGAAATCAACACTACCCAAAGTAAATGGTACTATTACGCAAGTCAGTGCAGAATTGAGATCACAGACAGTGGAAAGCATCTGGGAAATTACAGTTTCCTTGAATATTCTCTATAAAGAAAATTGGACGAGACTTGCCGCTCAGGAAATTGCGAGGTTCCAAGAAAAATTAGTAGCTAGGGTTGCTGCCGATGTTTCTGAACAGTATGGAGTTAGAGCTTTAGAATCAGCACCGGCTTATATTTCAGATGATTATGAATGGAACTTTGCTAAAGCGTTTTTATATTCTTTGACAGTTCTGACGACTATTGGTATGTATGAATATACATAGATGTATATACATATGAATTACATTATTTATGTTTGATTAATATAAAAAGATAAATAAATCACTTATTCCTTAAAAAAGTAAAAAAATATAAATGATTATATGTGCAAATCTCTTCATAGGAGAAAAAGTAGCTTGAGAAAAATACGTAATTTGTTAATTATAAATTGTATATTATAAAGATAAATTTAATAAGAATATTGATATTGAGATTTCAGGGTGATCATAGTGTTTTTGTCAATTTATTAATACCTATTTCTATTCACAGGTTATGGAAGCGTGGCTCCAAAAACAGCTCTTGGAAAAGCAGTCACAATCGGATACGCCGTTATAGGAATACCTTTGACACTTCTATATTTATCTGTAGTAGGTGCACTTCTCTCAAGACTCGCTAGAAGCGTTTTCAGTAGGGCTTTATGTTGTTGTTGTTTAAAATGCGGTTACTGCTGCTTGGATGAACAAACGATGGCAGTTAAAGAAAGAAAAGAAAAAGTTAGGCGTCAAGACGATTACAGAGCTCAAACACTACATCTACAAGAACCATATTACGTACGATCACCATCAGGGACTATTATTTCAGCATCCCAAGCAAATAGTCTCAGTACAAATTCTATAAAAGATAAACCAAATTTAAACTTTTTACGCGACTGCGATTCAATGAGCTGTGCCGACACCGATTCCAAGGTTTCAATTCGAGGCTTATCGATTCTTGCACCTATTTCTTTATGTCTGGCTGCTATTTTCACTTACATATTTTTTGGTGCTTTAATTCTGTATCAAATGGAAGGTTGGAGCCCAATTGATGGAATATATTTTTGTTTCATGAGTCTTAGCACAATTGGTTTCGGACACTTAGCGCCAGGTTTAACCCAAAAGAACGCCGCATCCACTGGTACCGTTTGGTTTTGTTCACTTTACATCATAACTGGATTGGCACTGACTGCAATGTGCTTTAACGTACTGCACGATGAGATCGTTCACCGACTACGGCACCATGATAAGATCTTGAAAGGCAACGCTCAAAAGATTCTGACACCAGAATTTCTTCAAAGGTCTTGACGAGACGAAAGTGCTAATTTCACAGAAGAGACAGTAGTCAATTCTGAAGAACTCCTGCCTGAAGTTTTGCATCATACTCCAGGTACAAGATACGAAGGTGGTGCAATCCGTCGGTCAGTTTACACGGTTAAGGAGGAGAAAGAACCAGAGAGGGTGACTCCAATGTAAGTTCTTTCGAAAATTTATGTAGCACTTTTAACATTACTTCATCATTAAGTTCAGTATTGTAGAATTAGGTGATTAATTTTGATATTTAAAAACGATTAAAGAAAGGACTGAAATGTTTGGTAATGACTTTCTAGATATATTTAGTGCCAAATTAGGCGTATAAATGTAATTTATAATATTTTACCGGAGAATTAAATCCTCTGGTAATAACTATGCTAAATATAAGCATTTAGTAAAAATATTTAACTAAAATTTCAAAAAATTGTTAAAGGGCTCATTTTTGTACGGAACTTAAAAAAAATGTACACTAATATTATATTCATAGCTTTATATTTATTATTAAGTAGGAAGGTAACTGATAACTAATCACGTAAAATTGTTTATTACTTTTACTATATTATATTGAGAATCGAAAATCTGACTAATACAGCCTTACAATGTTAATCTTTATAAAAGGAAAATTTCCTTTTAGGAAACTAAGATATGTAAATGTATTTTTAAATGGAACACTTTCATTATGAACTCTAATTGTATTTGATAAGTATCTATGTGTATATTTCTATTATAAAAATTGGGTTATTTTCGTTAAGTGTAAGTAGAAATTGCGAATCAATATTCTCAATTGCATTGTCAGGTTTGAAATATAGTCCTTTATATAGGAATTGAGTATTTAGGTTTGTGATTGTTCTATCTAACCAATAAAACTGGTATTGTAGAGATATCTTAGGTCGTACCAAGTGTGAATTTTAACATTTAATATTTAAGTACTAAGGTCGATTTTGCAATGAATGCGAGATAACTATAGCAGAAAATGAATTTAAAGTGATTTCATTTAAAAACCACTTAAACATGTTGCAAGTGCTCATATTCATTGTGAAACGGAAATTGTTTTCGTGCAATTGTATGAAGTGTAAAGAAAATAAATAATTTTATCATTATTGTTGTATTATTTCTTTTAACCTTAAAAGTTATTGGTATTAATGTCATAATCATATTGATACACAAAACTGCTTATTTATGTAGCCACAAGTATTAAAAGCGTATAAAGCAATTGGCAAAAGTATCATAATATTTCAAACACTACTTCTATTGTCTATTATATTATTTGCGATGTCATATTTTAACACTGACGAAAAACTGCTAAGCGAATTTATTTCAAATGTATTGTATTTTACAAGTGAATTATTAATGACATTAATAATAGTGTCTGTGGCGTTACAGCTTGATATAGAGTTTAAAATACTTTTTAAAAACTATATATTGAGGATTTAGCTTTGTAAAACCAATCTGATCACTGAATTTAAGTAGTTTTTTTTATGTCAAACCCATCAGTAATCAACGGAATATATACAAATTTGTTTAAAAATGTTTATTCGTACAACTATTTTCAATACTGGTTTAAAATGTAGAATAGTAAAGTGTAGAATGAAAAGCATTGTCATCGAAATTAAATGAAAATTTTCCAATAAGCCGAATGAATCGTTTTTAATTAAGATTACTAGATTTAGCGTAACAGAGTAACAGTGATGACACTGCAAGTTAAATGAAAGCTTTTTTCACTTTTTATTATTGTTTGAATGAAAATTTGCAAAAAAAGCAGCATCGTTGATCAAAAACTATTCTACAGTTTAGTGACTTTCATAATAGCTTGTACCTGCATTAGCTAGCTTTTCTACTAGTGCTATTTACTAAATGTCACCTTTCAACCAGCATACTTAATTATACAGAAGTATGTGATTACATAATTTATTACCTGAAATCCTAATCAAAATTTTGGTTTAATATTATTTTAGAGTTATCAATCATTGAAGCATAAAACCGTAATTGGAATGAAAATTATAAAGACGTAAAAATTAAAAACCATAACGAATGAAATCCGACAAATAAAAAAATTGTTTATATTTTAAAAATCTATAGTTGTATAGTGAAAAGAATGAGACTCAAAGTAAAAGCAATTTTTTATTCAAGTCATAAATCAATAGTATGCGATTGTGACAACTTCTTTGAGTTAGATGATTATTTATTTATTTTTACACTTTTAATCTGGATTTATAGTTTTTTATAGTGAATTTATAGTTTACACTTTTAATCTGGACTACTGCCTGTGGAAATAATTTTGAAATTAAGCTATAAAATATGTAATCTGAAAAATCTAACATAGATGTGCGTTGACATCACAGGAATTCAGTCACTACTTGTGAAAACGACCTAGATGTCACCGTGTAAAATCATAATATAGGCTAATTTTCTGCGTTCCAAATCCACTACAAACTTTTTATAAGGAATAGTTTATATGCTAAGGAATTCGATGCAGAAGCCCACCTAAAAAATTATGTTTTGAAGAGGTATTGAAAAAATTATAACCTAACAATACGGATTAGCTGTTAATTAGAATAAAAAAAAATCAGATGTGAATTATTTTTAAACACAAATCTTATTTTGACAATTAGAACGTTTAATACATATCTGTTGAAACTTTACAACGATATTTAAAATCATGTTATGACAGCGTCATATTAAGTTCACTGATATTTATTTTTTCAATACGAAATCATTTTCAAAACAACAAATTATTGACGAATGTATCTGCATAAAAAGTTACACACTCGTTATTTTTATAACTATTGTTAAAGCGGTTCCGACGGTAAAATGGAGGGTGTTATAAGTTTGACCTCGTTGTGTGAGTATGGGTATGTCTGTCTGGGGTACAGTAGCTCTGTCAAACGGATCTATCGATTTTGATGAGATTTTTCCAATGGTATGCCGGTTTGAATGTGTCCTTGACATATTTGATTGACTTCTATCGGTAAGTCAGTTGTCAACTATTTTAGGAAACTGACAATACTATGGGGTTATTTTTAAATTGGCTGGAATGTGTAATTTATATAAAAAAATTATTATAAATTGCTATTTGCAACAACACAGTTTGACTTTCTGTTTTCAATCTAATTAAATATTTCTAAATGAATCAAACGTGTTCATAAAAGTCTTTATTTTGTGTTTAAAGTAATTTTTGTTTTTCTATCTTATTGTTTGGGTAAGAAGCTTAAAAAGAAAGTTGACTCTTTGTCTTAAGAAAATACAGGAAATATAAACTATAAAAGTTTTCAACTGTTATTGAGAGAGTGAGTTATTTTGTTATATATCTCTTGTTATATATAACGGTAATATCCTGAAACGTGAAATATTACACACACCTTACTAAATACGATGAAGCTTTAGATTTCTATAAAATAATAGTATTTTTCGTTACCAAGAATTTAAGTTTTATATGATCATAAATATTTTCACTTTGTGATTATAAGAAAATGAAACTTAATTACAACATTGAAAAGTTATGAAAATTACAAGTTAATATAATATATTCTAGAAGATATATCTTTGGGTACTATAAACGTTATGCTTATTCTGTTTGTTAATTAATTTTTCATAACGAATTTCTACCAGACTGTTAAGAAGACCATACTCCATTATGTTATTTTATTTTCCTCGCCCCAGACGTCACTTGCGAAATATTCAGACGATAAATATCTCTGCGGACGTTTTTTCTCCTTTTATCGTTTTGATTCTGCTGATTTGAAAGTGATTTCGGCTTAAACAGCCTTTTGTTGTTTTAAAAATGTTTTCTAAGTAAAATTTGAATTGCTCTTGTTTTTTTTGGGTCACGAATTAAAACGGAGATTTTGCTTAGTTTATTTTTGCATTAGTAAATAACATTTAAGATGTAGATAACTTTGCACCCATGAAAGGTTTTTTTTTTTTTAGAGAAATGAAGTCAAAGTGATAAATTAAATCAAAGTGATAAAAATCCAAATATTTTACATCAGTATGTATATTTCGTAACAAAGATTTAATTGGCATGAAAACATTTTAGATCATATAAAACGAAACAACAGCAATAATATAATGAGATCTAAGACTTTTGATGATGAACCTTATATTAACTAACTACGACACATTATGTTATTATTTTTAATACATAATCCCAAGGTTTCAGTTATTTTGCAGCAACCGTGCTCACTTTCAGACGAGATATTCATCTATATTTCATTTTGCTACAACAAACTCTTCTTAACACGTAGAAATCCGAAAATATTCGTTTCATTTAACAGCAATAATAAACATACAAAGTAAACCAATTACAGCTCTATTATTTTGTTTCAAATACACGGCACAAGATCAAGAAACGTAAGCTTACTGTTTCATCATTAATTATTTACATTTATTCAGTAACAGAACACCTGAATAGCCGCTCTGCACTTTACATGCCTTAATAAGGCTCTTAATGCAAAAGGATCTTCATTAAATATTTAAAAATGTCTGAACGGCTAATTGTTTCACTACACCAACACAATAAAATTGGTACAAGATAATATGTGTTTTAATATTACGTATTTATATGTTTGTTGGTATATGAGTACGGGAATATAAAAATATGAATAGTTATGTGTTTTTCATTTTTATCAAGTCGATACACAAAAATAACAATAATTAAAGTCAGTAGCAGTGTGGAGAGTTGATGTCCAAATCGCTTCCATAATATGAGAACACCTCTGATTAAGTTACTAACAATTAATTAAAATTTTTGTTCAATAACCACAAATTTAATTCAGAGATCATGTAAAGATTTACATTTCATAGGCACAATAGTGCATACAAGATTAAATAATTACTAAACCATAAAAAACACGGTTTAACAATTTTTTGTACACGAATTAGAATTATTAATACCTATTAATAAATTTGATTAGTCAAGTCCTATCTAACGATGGTAAATAATCTATTTTAGTAGTTTATTATTTAAAAAGATATATAAAGTTATCCATGCGAGA